ATGCACTCAGCCTACGGCCGGACAATGCAACGCTTGTTCATGTGCTGGTGCATCGTGAGAGCGAGGAGTACAAAGAGGAGGATGAATGTAGCCTCTCATCCCCGGGCCAAGGCTCAACAAGTGGCAGTGGTCATGACAAGCCGAAACCGCCGCAAATACGCATTAACACTGGCTCAGCGGAGAGTGGAATGGATACCTGTCTAATGCCCACAGTGCAGATAATGGTAGATAGCCCTAAGGAGCCGCCTCGCGGCGACTTCAGTGCTGCCTATACACCCACTGTCGATGTGGATGCGCCCATCGATGTGAATGTGCAAGGAGATACATCGCAAGTGTTCTACGAGTACAATCCCGAGTCGAATGTGGATAATAGCAATGATATAGAACCCATGGACGAAAAGCTGCCCGATGCCGAAGATAAGCAGAGATGACCTTCAGTTAATATGGCAGAGCCAGATAAAGAACAGCAGCAAGAGAAGCATTCAAGCAGCAGTAGCAGCAGCAAAACGAGCAGCTGCAGCAGCATTAACAGCAACAGCCACAACAGCAGCAGCAGCAGCACCTCATCAGCTAGCCAGTCAACTGGACAGCGTCCAAGTTGACAAACTCCAGTCTGAGAGCAATTTTCACGTGCATTTTGGAAGAGTACTTATAAATGCTTAGACCTAGGCACGGGGCAAACGTTTTTGCCCCATTTGTTATTCTAGTCGATTAATTATATATAAATATATATATACATAGTTGCTTTATACGATACTTAGACAGAACTATCCAATGTTTATATCATTCTATAAACATATATATTTAAGTCTTGGCAACAGTGCGCTGTGCGTCCAGCCAAGTGTCTAGCCTAGTCTTAGAACTAGAATTAGCTTAGTTTTAACGAGAAAAGAAATCAATATAAACTCTGTGTTAACAAAACGTGCATTATACCGTACAAGTGCGTACACGTTGTAATACTCAAAAATCAAATCAAATGGAAAACACTAATATTAACATTAACATTAACAGTAACAGTAACAGTAACAGTAAAACTTAACATAAACATTAACATAATATATATGATAGAGTTATGTATAATTAGATACTAGCTAAAACGGTTGGATTTTCGTTGTGACAGTCAGTCAGTCAGTCAAGTGGCTTTATCGGCCGATTTCGAAAGATATTTTAAAGGTTGTTTTTAATTATACAATACAAATACAAATACGATACGAAACATACTTACATAGGGTATATACATATATATCTATATACACACATAACTTAACAATCGCGTTGTAGACTTAGGCTTAGAGTTTGTTTTTCTTCAGTGCAATACGTACATATACGTATATATATATATAGATATATACATATATATATATGTATATATATATATTTTGTACATATGCCAAAGGAAGTATTTTAAAGCTAAATATATTTAGAAATTACTATTCATAGCAATATATAAAAAGAATTAGCTAGCGACAATTGAATTGAAATATTAATGAGGAAAGAATTTCCCTACTTTTTCCCTACATTTTTTTGTTTGTTTATTTTATTATTATTATGATAGTTCAAGCGCATAAGTACAAAGGAGAAGTATTAACAAAAGTAGTTTCCAATACTCTTTGCAAACAATCTACTCACACTTATTTCTCAGAACTCAGAAATATCAAGAATAAGAACTCAAACTCTAAAAACAAAACAAGCCAAAACACAAATAATGTCAAGTGATTGAAAACTCCAAAAATGAAAACTAAAAAGCAATTTAAATTCATCTAATAGCTAAGACCCAATCGGGTATTTATTACATATACCAAATACCACATGCCATTTGCGATATTTATGGTACAGTAACACTTGTCACATAACGTTTTCTTTATTCCGTAATACTCTTATGTAACGAAACTAAACAGCCAGTTTTAACCGCAGTCCTACCTAAGCAATGTGCATTGATACAACTTATGCTATATCGAATATCTACCATTTAGGCATAAAATGTTTTTATTTAGTACATATAGAACATATTATATGTGTATATATATTGAATTGTGAAATCAAAATTTGCATAAATGCTCTTCTATACAAGCTTCCACGAAATGACATTTGATATCATGTATATATGATAAACTATTTAATATACACAATATTACTATTTTATTAGGCCTGGGCCACGTTTCGAAGAAACAAAAGTGAATTATGTTTAGTTTAGCTGCATGCAATCAATCATATGTTAAGTTTTTAATGACTCCCCTCCTACATGCGCCCACTCATTAACTGTATACTATATATTTACTATATATATATCTATCTATATACAACAGACAATCAGACAGACGATTGATCGTAAATTGAAATTATGGTACCAACTACAAATCGTTTTCTCCAGAACAATTAACAAATACAAAGACGTACACACTTGTGATTTTAAACTGCAATTTTTACACAACAAACAAACAAACGAACAACAAAACTTAAGATCATAATAAACTTTTAATTAGAATTGTTAACAAATTGCTAAATAATGTTTAAGTAATAAATTATTGAATACAAAGCAGTCAGAAACCAAAAAACCAAACCAAAAAAATAAACACTCGTCAATTAAGTGATATTTATTAATTGGTACATATATAGGCATATAAAAAAGCAAAAGCAACAACAACATATATAAAATAGAGTGTACCATCTTTCAATTTGTAAATATATATATACACACACACAAATTTATATATATATATTATTAAATTATATAGCAAAGCTTTAATTTTTCATTCCAATAATCGCTTAAAGTTATTGTAAACTAAATCTTTCGATTCACAACTCTGAAAAAAAACAAAGGCAACATTTGATTTAGTCATAGAATATAAAGACAATAAAAACGAATGAGGCATATATTAATATTATATAAAAATTAAATAAAGACGGGACAGAGCTTCAACAATTCCAAAGAACCCATAAGAAATAGCTAAATAAACCAGAAAAACTTAGTCCAAAAAATTGAACCAACCAAATATATGAAAGAAAAACAGTCCTATGCATTTAATATAGCAGTGGAACGAATCGTCAAACAATGCAAATACATAAATATGTATATGAACAAATAGTGTATATATACATATATATAAATAGTTAATAACAATTAAGTACAGCTGGTTTGATTAGGCATGCCTTACAGTATAAACGATTTTATTTGTTGAGGTTCAAAGTAAATTTAAAAACAAAACAAGTTAACGTTTCATATGTATATCAGCAAAATAGATGAAAAAAGAATATATATATTAAAAATAATTATATATAATTAGTTATATATAGGAGCATACAAATTGTTTAACATATGCTCTGCAAACAATGTCAATTATTTTTAATTTGCGTTAACAAAAAAAAATAATACAAAATAAGCGACAACTTGGCAGTCGGGTATAACCGACTGTACAATGCTCGTTCATGTTACAAAAAGTATCTAAATTAATTTATAAAAATTTGTATATTTGATTTGATCTCAACCGTCATATAACTGTTGGATATATATAGTTATCCGATTTATCAAGCAGCTTGCAATTGTGTTTATATAACTTTGTAACTGCTCTATAGAGAAGTTGAAGACTTTAGCTCTTTCACTCTATGTCAGGGGCTCAATGAGCCAAGCTATATAAATTGAATATTACTATCTATAAAGTATATATATTTTCAATTTCTAGTACCGAGCTTTATTATTTGGTAAACAACGTTGGCTAATTGCCAATTTAATGTTAATGTTAATATACTCTTTTTCGCAACATGGACGAGTATAAATAGAACAAATACAAAGAACAAAATGTAGTATAAAACCCATTTTTTGTATATTAGAAACGCGTTTTAGTCCTCATTCCAAGCAAAATAAAAAAGAAAATGTTTAACCTTAGCTTCAAATTACATTTATATGTATATACATATTCAAAGCTGCGCTCAAATTGCAACGGATCGAAGACAACTCAGCGTATGTATATATATATATATATATGTATAGATCTAGATATATGTATATATAATTCCAAATTTTCAGCACATTTCTTAAATGATTTTTGAATGAAAATATTTTGCCAATTTGATTTGCTTTGATCCGCTACGCTCATAGCCATAGTTAAAGATATCATCTATATATATATATATATATACATACATACATATATATGTATATATATTTCTATAGTGTCACATAATGAACCGAATTCATATCAAAAGCAACATAAACAAAAATCTAACATTTGCAATAAAAACATCTATATATATATATATTATATATATATATATTTACTCGGGTACAAATTGGTACAGTAAAGACATTCGTTTATACAATATTTACTGTCTAAATATTATATAATCATTATACTTATACTAAAAAAGAAATACTTATACGTATAACTTATCAAAAGTCAAAATTTATTAACTGCAAAACGAAAACAAAAAGAAAAACAAAAAAATGAGAATCAACTTTTAAAACTGAAAACATTTGAAAAAAAAAGGAAAAAATTATTGAAGCATAACAACAGTTGACCACGGTGCACAGCGGATGTGAACAATGTTCAGAGTAAAGCATATAGTCTATATAAAAAATTAAAATAAATAAATAAAAAGACAAAGAATTTGTTGATAACAATATAAAATAGCAAAACAAATTGTTTTCAGTTGAAAGTTCCAAATATATATATATATATATATATGTATATATATAGTATATATATGTGGAGCAGATCGTAACTATTATATAATAGTGATTATTTCCATTCGGTTAATAACTCTTAAGGGTTTTTGTTAAATTTCATTATATTTATATATTCATATGTTAATAAAAATAATTTCCAACTACAAAATAACAGCCAAGTGGAAGCAGGACGCAGGATACAATAGAAACAGTGGGCAGGAGCGTAACAAAGTATGTATGCGAGGGTAGTCTAATTAATTTCTAAACTTAAAAAATAAATGTGAATTTTATAATATTTTTATATTTATTTTTATATATAAATTAATTTTTATTATACTTTCTTATTAAGTTTCATAATGTTTTTAGGCTACCCTCGCTTATGTACACCGCCATTAGTTACTTTTGCAGCAGCTGCAGCATTTGTTCCAGCTTCTGTTCGATGTGCTCTAGGCGTCTCTCGGTGTCAAGCTCTCGCTGGCGCTTCTGCTCGCCGCTGGATCGCTGCTCGATGAGTGCCAGGGCCAGCTTGACGGTGCGATTATCAATGCGGGAGTATTTGCCCTTTAGCTGTTTATGTTCGCAGTCCTGATTCGTGGGCAGCGCCTGGAATCGGACATTGTTGCGCTCCCGCATCTCGGTGGGATCGATCAGCGGTATGAGCACCTTGTTGCCATCGTTGGGCAGCACCGAGATCTGACGCAGCGCCAAATAGTTGGGATAGATGCGCATCAAACGCTCATAAGTCCAGCGCAGGGGTTTCGTGCTCATCAGGTAACCAGTGCGTCCTTTGCGATCCATCAACACCTGCTCATAGCGCAGCAGCGTGTTCGCGCGGCAAATGGCGCCATTCAGCTCCGCCTGGGCTTTGATGGCCTAAAAAAAGAACGGCAAAGGCTAAGTAAACGAGCAACTAGCGTTCAGTAAGGGATTAGCTTACCTGCGTATCGGATACGGCCAGGCCATTGAGCAGGTTAAACAGCACAATAGTCATGAAGAAGACGAAGAGCAGGAAGATGAAGTAGGTGGGCACACTGTTGAATTTGATGTCTCCAGCATCGAATTCGCCCGTAAACATGACTATGGTCTTAATCAGCGCCTCGATGGGCTTCGAGAAGCTATTGAAGCCATCATCCTTCTCAGCTCCCGGCTTTGGCTGCTGCTCCTGGTCCTGCGGCTTGCCGAACAGTATGTAAAAGCACAAGCTGAAGGTAACCACGAAGATGGAGTAGAGGCCAAAGCTCTTAATGAAGCTACTCGAGACAGCACGTAGCATCAGCATGTGCGTCGATATCGATAAAACGGGCAGCGAACCGACCAGCAAGCAGAACTCCAAGGCAACCAAGAGGATCGTGCATACAGCGAGTACGCGCTGTGTCTCCTTATCGAAACTCGACTCCTTGCACGTCATAATGGCCAAAACAATGAGGGCCAATTCCAATAGATTGGTAAGTGAGAAGAAGTAGTTCCATTTGGGCGCCATGAGTAACTGTATCAGCTCTCTTATGATCAGATAACAAATGCCCATCCACGAGGCGATGGCGAAGATCGCAGTTAGATTCGTGTCGCTCTCGTGGAACTTGAGCAGCGTGTAGACGACGATGGCGCCCGTGAAGAGGGTGTAGATGACGAAGTTGATATAGAAGATGCACGAGAGTCGATGCCATTTCAAAAACAGAAAGCTCGAGATTAGGGGATGCTGCAGCAAATGTCGCAGCTCCTTTGATTTGGCTATGCAAGCGATGGGCGCCATTTCGTCCTGCGCCGGCGTAGGCTGCCCCTTGAGCGGCTGCTGCTGGAGAATTGGCTGCTCTCGCATTAGATTCTTGTAATCGATGATTATCTCAAAGTTTTGATCGCCCGGCTTTTGGGCGTTTGTCGTGATGCACGAATCGAAATGCTGCTCCAACAGCTCCGGCCACATATCCTCTATGGCCAGCTCACCGAAGACGCTCTTCGCGCCGATGTAAGCACCGCGACTGAGCAACGTCTGCACCGCCTGCATATTGCGATATTTGACCGCATAGTAGAGCGCTACTTGGCCACTGGCATCCCGTTCATTGATGTCCACCAGCCGGCTATCGAGCAGCAGCTCAAAGCAACGCGAATGATCGCAAAAGTTATCCAGCGGCTGTTGGTCTAGCCTACTGATCACGGCGTGGAGCAGCGTGCTGCCTGGCTTCAATTTGAGCTCCGGATGCTGCAGCAGCTTCTCAAGTGCACGCCAATTGCCCCAGATGACGGCCAGCTCCACAGCCGAACCGTCCTGTTCCCTTGGCCTCTGATTGATGTTGATGCCTGTGTTGAGTATGGCCTCGAAGGCGCATTGCTTGCCCCGCTTTATGGACTCCAGCAGCAGCGGCAAGTACTGCTCCTGCTGTATGTTGCGCTGGTTATCCTTGTCGCTGAGGCTCTTGTGCTTATCGAGCAGCTGCTCGAATTGGGAGTCATCGCCATCGCGCAGGTGCCGCAGCAGTCGTTCAACATCAATTTCTTCATCGACGTTCACCAATCGTTGCGGCGGCAGCTGCAGCTCTGGATGCTGCGCCAGCAACATCTCACGCACTTGACCATTGCGAGAGGTGTCGATGTCCAGATTGGGCTGCTGCAAGAAGAGCTTCACCAGCTCCAGCTTGTCAGCGTGCTGTATCTTTTTGTTGCGCAGCACCAAATGCAACGGCGTCTGCTCGCCCTGATCCACGACGTTGGGCGAGGCGCCGTAATCGAGCAGCTGCTGCATGCATCTGTGCACCTGCTGCACATTCTCTGGCGTCAAATTCTTGGCCAGTGAGTGAAGTGGAGCTAGCTGTCCATATTTACGATCCACCTGCACCTCGGGACGACGCAGCAACACCGCCAAATTCAAGGGATCTCTGGAATCAGTGGCGTAGCTTATAGCTGCCTTGTTGTGCTTCAGGTTGATCTGCAGGCGTGAAGAGGCTTAAGATAAGCTTGAGCTCTAGTTAGCGTTCAGTATCTACTCACATGATTCACATTGCAGCCGTGGGCAAGACACTCCTCGATAAACTCCGCACAGCCAGGTGTCGACAAAGCCTTCTCATAGATGCTCGCGTGCCGCTCGTCCTCCAGATTGGGCTGTGCGCCCATCTGAAGCGCCGCTCTGAACTCATGTAATTTGCGTTTGGCCAGCGCATCAGCCAGCTGCGTCTGTGGATCACTCAAACCGCAACCGGTCAAGTCCATCTTGCTTGTGTAGAGGTAGAGGTAGAGGTGTTGACTGTAAAGGAAACGGCACAGGTGAGCATGAGTCTGGCCTAGCTAAGCCCATGCTAAAGATGTCTCTGTAACTTGGCATCGTAATAGAAATGAATCAATTCTAAATATTTTATATATGCGGTGGATACTCGAGCACTTCGGGTTTTATATTGTTATAGAATATATTATATATATATATATTATATGGAATATATAATTATATATTATATGGAAAGTCATTAAGTCATTCTTAGTCGGAATGAAGTGACGAAACAGTCGATAGCTGTCTGTTCTCTCGTGTGATCGATTGCACAGAAATATTCAAATATTATTTTATATTATGTTATATATATATATGTTATGTTATATATATATATATGTATATGTTAAGCGAGGATATGACTAATTCTTCAATGATTATCATAAATCATATATATGAGCAGCTCTATGGGGTTTAACAAATGATTTCTTCAAATCTTATCTAAAGTCTTATCTTATCTAGATTACTTATACAACTATCGACTGACCCTCGGAAACAGTAGACCAGAGCACAGAAAAGCAGAAACCCACATTCAATTTAAAACGTAGTTGCATTTGTCCAGCTATTCCATTTGAGCTATGCTAAATGCGAGATGGGGGCATGAAACCTTGAAGCTAAACAAAAGTTTTTGGCTGCCACACACACACACACACACACACACACACACACACACGCACCCACACACACACACAAATATAGAGAGATGCTTGACACACGCTTCATGGTACGCTGATTTTCACAAGCTGTGGAACGGGCGGGTTTTGGCCAAGTGTTGATGGCAGCTTGACCGTTTCTTTTTGTTTTTTGTTTGGTCAAAAGCTGCTTTACAGGTTTTAGGTTTTTCTCAGAGACAATCCAGCAAATACAAGATAATAAATGTACAATTGGATTTTGTGCGGTAATTAAGGAAAGCGTTCGCTTAAGTGCTTTCTGTGGTTCGCTCTCATCTAATTGCTTATGAAATTAAAGCAGTTGTGTGGGCGTGGCTCCATGTTAGCCTTGTGATCCGCTGACTTGGCGTTCATGGCGGACTTTCGGGTTTTTCGTTTCAGAACCATCATAAAGAATAATCATAAAATAATCGACATATCAATATCAATATCAATTAGCAATCAATTTGTTGCGCTTTACGCTTTCAATTCTTTTGCGATCTTTCGGGCCGCAAAGCTCGACTAGAAAATGCCGAAAACACCAATGAAATTTATGGCAGTTGGGCATAACTGAGCGTGTAATACTCGTTTAAAATGAGCGAATGATGTGATGTTCATCTCCATGTGGGAAGCAGTAATTATTTTCCTAGCAAACTTAAAGATCTTAAGTCCAAATCTTGAATTGTCTGAGAGCCTTTAGCACTTGATAGGTAGACAAACAGAAAAACCAATATACTCTTTATGCACATCTGGAACGAGTATTAAAGTAAAAACGAATTTAAAGCGGCTTCTGCTGCTTCTTCTTCTCTTGGGAGGCTATTCAAGTCGAATCTGTTTTGACGCTTGATATGTGTGAGAAATCGGCTAATCACGCCAGAAGAAGCTCATTTGAATATGCCCCAGCTGCTGTATATATAATCAACTGTACAGCCGAGTAGAAGAAGAGGAAGATGATGCTGACCAGCAAGAAGAAGCGAGGCTATCGATTAGTAATCAGCGAACAACTAATAAGTAGCTGTCGTCATTTGATAGCTTTTACAAATTATTTATTGTAAGACGAAAAAATTTTGGTGCTTGACCCCATGTCTTGAGAGCTAACTCCAGCAGGCATTATTTGCAGCATCACTTCAGCTAATTGGCTGCCTTTTTCTATCGGCTTGAGCTGTCTCTATTATTACATTGAAGATAAATGATAATTGGTGCGGCCTATGAACTTGGATTGTGTTTATCAGGCAGACTTTATTGGAAGGTGTTAAAGCCGCTTAATTAAAGGCAGCAAAGATTCGAACTCTGCACTAAATGGAAATTTTGTTAATACTTTAACAAACTTAAGCTTATTTACATTTGAAATACGAAACATTAGCTGGACATGACTCACTAGCTTTGTATTCAGAAAGGGCAAGGGTTCGAACTAGGCATCGAAACTATATGCTACAATATATATATCTATCTATATGTATATATATATAAATATATAACATATTGAAGTACAAATAGAAGCTGTATTTTGAAATATGCTCAAGCAGACTGACTAAACCTACTATAAGATTAGTCACAGGTTCGAACTACCAGCCGAGTCTGAAACAATATAAATTCGTAAATATTATATGCCTCATTCCATTGACTTATGGAATTATATGGCTTCGAACCAGGCATAACTTTCACATGTATAAACATAAAGATATGCAGATATTTAGATATAAGAAAACATTCAATTCACACTTGCTTTGCCGACACAAGTTCGAACTCCGCAATGCCTAAGGCTAAGGCAACTGTCGTAATATAATTGTCAACACATTAGCCTCAGCATTATTTGCCTTTGTCTGCTGTTTGCAAAGCCAATTAAAGCTGTCGCATGACAAAAGAATTCATTGTTTAATAGCAAATAGAACTTAGAGGTATTAGAATGAAGTAATTGAGCAACTGTTTGGTCTTCAGCTGCTTCTCTCTTTACTTTAGCTCTGAAAAGTAAAAGTGCCAAATGCAATCTCTGCTGCACTTCGAAGAGCTGGACAAACTTGTTCAGCGAGTTTTCCTTGCAAACAGAAATTGAAGAAACAAAAGTTGAGAAATAAATACTTCGAGGAAGTTTTGCGCAACTCAAGTTCCATGACAAGTTTATTGCACGGATAGCATAAACAAAAAATAAAACGGAAAAAAGAAGCAATTAAATGGGCTTCAGTGGAGAGTGCCAGACTGCCAGATACCCACGAAGCCTGTGTGGAGCTGTTGCTCGAAGCATGTATCCCTGTATCTGATTGATGAAGGAATGTCCGATCTTATGGAAATAAAAAGTATAAGTTTTACTTTAACGGATGCTTTATTGACTTGACGGCAGGACAAACAGATAGACGCATCCATAGAGGAGCAGAGAAACATGCCCAAGAACAGTGGTACATCAGCACTGCAGACGGGGGATACTGATCTGGAATATATATACGTATATACTTTATGTGCTGGAACACTCCTTCTTTCGACTGTTACATACATTTCGACGAAAACGTTACACTCCAAACTAACATTTCCAATGGTTTTAGGGCATCAAAAAACCAAAAAAAAAAAAAAAAAAAAACATTTATGTTTGTCAGCAATTTTGGGACTCGAGTTCGCTGTACGTGACGAGCTGTCTCTAAGAGGGAGACGGGCGTGTCGAAAAAGTCGGGCAGCGTGATCTTAAAAAATCTCTAGAAGCTCTCCAGATGGGCCAACTGCACACACGCACAGTCAAGTATATATATATATATATATATGCTATAAGCCATAAGCAAAATCGTTACACTTTTGTTTGTCTTGAACTGATTGGCTTTAGCGAGCTTCTGTTTATTTCATTTATGGCCATTTTTAATGCAGCTGCAAAAAAACTGTTTACATTAAGAAGAAGTCTATAAACACGAACGAACACACTTTTTCATAGAGCTAACAAAATCTTGTTTCTTAATGCGATCAAGTGCGCAATTATAAACAGTTCATGCTTAGCAAGCTGCAATGAGCTAGAGTCGAGTGCGCTCGTATACCCTGTATCTTCGAGAGAAATCTTTAACAATTTCATTATGCAATGACTTTTCGAAGCTTAAAGAGTCTAAACGAGGAGTATTTATATAAATATATATTTATATATATACCCTGTGATTAGCTTATGTGAAGCTATTTAAATGTCTTCAAAAACTGCTTTGCTTGTGGTCAGCTCTTTTTCTAACCTAAAGAAGGGAGTCAATATATATATTTTAAGCATACATATTGTCTGTTATCATCTATCTATATAATTATATATATATATATATATCGAATTTGAATTTGAGATATATTGTATAAGTATAGCTAGATATAAACCCTTTAATCAGCTTCCTTGAAGCTAGACAAAAAATGGAACTTTTCAAATTTTCCTTTGACTTTTGCTTTCAAATCTTTGTTAAACTTTTTGTGGATATTAGAAAATGTTAGTCATACAACTATATATATTTATAACTATATATATTTATAAATAATATTGTGTATATATTATATAACATAACCTGTAATCAGCTTCTTCAAAGCTTTTACAATTTTTCTATCTGCCGTAAAGCTTTTTGGTTTTAATCATATCTACTGGAAATTTTCAGAGCTTTAAACAGGCATAGCAGACACTATAGACTCTCTACGAACTACATATATTCAGTAATATATATGTTTATGAAATAAGATAAAATAACATAAAAAGCCGCTTCTCTTGCCCGCTTCACTCTCTGTTGCAATTGAAGCAAGCTCTTTTTTCGCTAGTTTTCAATGGGTATTAGGAAAGCTTGGCCCTAGTAGTACAGCTCGTTTCTGCTTTTTATCTTGTCTTTAGTTTGAGCATCTCCGAAATTGTCATCATAAAAAACGTCATAATTAAGATGGATGTGCTTGAGGAGGGACTGAAGCTGAGCCGTCTGAGCATGACTTCATGCTACGCTCTTTTCTCTCTGGCTCGCAATGGCATATGCCGAAAAAAATTCATTTCCAGCATGGAAACACAATACACACACACACACACACACACACTCACACAGAGACAATAAGTGGATATATATAGTGTCTATATACCCAATGTGCACTTCATAAACAATTGGCTGGCCTAGATGGAGAGCAATAACAAAAACATTTCACGATTACAATAACAAGAGGTTAAAGTGGGCAGAGGGAGAGGGCAGCAGAGTGTATAGGGGCTGCCCCTCTTTCAATAATTTGTAAAATTAAACGAATTAAATACACACACACACACACACACACTCACGCGCACAGAGAGTGTGGAAAATCGTGGCGAACGATCGAGATTCGCTGCTTGTGTTAAACAAATGCCACGACATATTCCAATTAATTATATAAAACGAATCTAAAATTTCAATTGCCAGCTAAAGAGCTAACAGTTATTGGGTTAAGTACGACACCCCCACCCACAGCCAATCAAATATGTGCCAGCTACGCCACGCTTTATGGCTCGAAAGATAAAGTGAAAAAAAAAGTACAAATCGTGGGCGGAGCCAATAGCAGCCAAGCAGGAGGACGGGCAGGTAGCCAAAACGTTAGCTTCAAGAGCGATTCAGCGAGGTTTAGGCATGTCCATGCCTTAAGCAGTCAATTATTTAGTTTATACAGCTAGAGCAATAAACATATGCAAATGCCAACGCACACATGGACAAATATAGAGTTGGATTAATGTACACATAATTGAGCCTAACGGAAATGGCGTCTGTGTTTATGTGTGTGCGTGAGCGTGCCTTAAGCAAATGTTAATTGAGGAACGCAGCAAAAACTGCAATCTATACATAAATAAATATATATATATATATATAGTTATATAAGAGTATATATATATTGATTCTCTCATATCACCAGCTATTGCCTGGCCAAAGGCGATGCCTTAAAAGGCAGCTACAAGTGTTTTTTGAATAGATCTACCCACTGAATAAGCCAAAAAATGGTTTAGAAAAACTCTTTTTAGATGAGGTCACAGTACTTTTAAAAAAGTTAAAGACAATATATATATATATATATATATATATATATATATATATATATATATATATATATATTTTTATGCATGAAATAGTGTTTGAAGTCTTTTAGTCATTTGTCTTTAAAAATTTTAATTAATTAATTGCAGTTTCTTTTTGTCGTTGTTTTTGCGCGCATTTTATTCCTTGATTCGAAAAACGTGTTTTTGAACTTTTTTTATATTTAATTTATTGTTGTTGTTGTTGTCGTTGTGTGTGGGTCGTAAGTGCTGAGCAGTTTGCAACTGCGGTTTGCTCATTTGTATTTGTTATATCTGCATTACAAGCATGATTCACTTTAACTGTCATTTCGTTTATTGAAATCTCTGTCGATGAGTCTGGGGAAACGGCTTCTTTTGAGATAAATCACTTTCGATTTGCATATTTATGATTCATTTCGTTTCGAATATTTCAAGTGTTCAGTTTCATTTCGAAAACTGCCATATTTGGGTTTTTATTTTATACACTCACTAAATGCTTGCGCGCCAGACAACTGCACTCCGAAATATCCAAAGACCAACTGATCAGCAAGTTGAACCGATCAACAAGCGGCGATTCCCAACAAACCAAAAAGCAAAGCTGTACATTTTAACGGAATAAACTAGAGGCAGGCAAAAGTATGCCATGTGAAAGCGGCGAAAGGGTTTCAATAAAGACAACTCCTGAACGTGGGCAACACTAATTTTTAGTTAAATAAAGCATATTAAAGAAAAGTAGTTAAATAAATATTTGTATAACTGATAGCTGATACGGTTACGGATATCATATGCAAATACATAAACATTAACATGTATAACATTGCAAAATAAATCATTTAATTTCTTACTAACAAAGCAATAACTTTGCTTCACTACACATCTGCAATACCAGTTGGATATCAGAAAATGTAAGATCTGACAAGTCGAAGGAGCTGCCACAAGGGAAATTCAAAATATTTCTATTTAAACTGAAGTCCATTTCACATAATTACAGTGCATGCTTTCAGGCATTTTTATAAAATGCACCGACATTAATTGTTAACAAGTGCTGCATACTTTCGGGGTAGTCGATAAAAGCTGCATGTAAATAAATATACATTATTGGAAAAGTGTTGCATACTTTTGAGCGATGCGAGTATTATCTGCAGCTGCAGATTTAAAGAAAGTTTGTCTCTATAAATGCGCATATCTCGAACAAATATGGTCCGATTGAGCCTAACGGAAATGGCGTCTGTGAGAGTGTGTGAGAGTGTGTGTTTATGTGTGTGCGTGAGCGTGCCTTAAGCAAATGTTAATTGAGGAACGCAGCAAAAACTGCAATCTATACATAAATAAATATATATATAAATATATATATAATATAAATATATATATATATATATATATATATATAGATGCGAGTATTATCTGCAGCTGCAGATTTAAAGAAAGTTTGTCTCTATAAATGCGCATATCTCGAACAAATATGGTCCGATTTTGAAATGATATACCTTTTTGAACTCGTATTAAGCTACACTTTCGTTTAGCCTTACAGTTTTTCCAATCCAAGTGATGTCAATTTTTGGCAAAAAACGTGATGGTTAGCCCATGTTTTTCGACAAAAATCGACTTTTCTTGAAATTGAAAATTGTTTAACGCAATCGATTCTACAGATCCTCACGAGCACAAAATGGTATCTCTTTCGAAGATCGGACATATAGTAGAGAAGATATGATAATATAGTTATATTTATGACCAGAGCTGCTGCTTGAAGCGCTTTAACATAAACCGTTGCTGTTGCTCAATACCCCTTTAACATAAGCTGCTCCACAAACGTTTAACAGAAGCAACAACTGTAGAATAACAGCTGCTACTGTAGATTAGAAAAACATGTCAGATTTGTTGTGTTGAATTATTTTTTAGAATGCATAAAGTTAAATAATTATTTAATCGCAGCGAAGTTTAACAAGCGCTTTCAGTCATATTATAAACATATATACTTAAACATAAATTATTTATTAATTTGATAAAAGTCAGATCGCCGGGCCCCAAGAGATGACATCCAATGCAATGCCCTTCAGACTCTCAGCATCGATCTCATGGCTTGCCAACGTTTTAATAATTTTCTGAACATTCTGTGATTTCTGTAAAGACAAAAATACAATAAATATGAAAATAAATATGATATAGTGCATTTCCTACCATTGTTTTGTCCAGAAGCGATTTGAATGCGTCGCTTCGTATGGCTTCATAGAATTTGGGAAAAACTTTGCTACTTTTACGTTTCTCTTTAATTAACGCCACAAAACGGTCGCGCGGCAGGTGCGTCAACAGCTCCTGAGCGAAGCTCACAAAGCTGTTGACACTGGTAGCTAACTTCTGCGCTTGAGGTAGATCCAGTGGCACAAGAACCACGACCAAGTTCTTCAAGTCCCTGTCATCCGCCTCCTCCAGCTCTTCGGCAATGCCATTTTCCATAACTGATTTATAGCCATAGGTTTTGTATGCATATGCTCTGAGCTGTCGTCTGAGACGTTCGTCGATTACAATTCTCGATCTGATAGCCTTATCATTCAAATGCACGAAATTTATAACCTCAATTATCTCGGGCAACGATTCGGCGAGTTGCTGCAAGTGCTTAAAATCGGAACTGCGCAGAAACTTGATCGCTTTGCGGAATCCCGAATCCGTTAGCATATGTTCTGCGATGACCTCATCGATAACAATGCTCGGTATCAGGTCGATGAAGTCGCGTAGATCCTGCAGCAGCTCTGGGGAGTAGGTGACACGATCAACTTGCAACTTTGCTGGCCACCAACGGCTGCTGCTTGCTAAAACCGAAGCGCCGCACAACGAAAAACAAACAATTGCGAACAAAATCTTCGACATTCTCAACTAAACTGATCGACCCACACTCGTCCGTGTTTGACGGAGAACTGACGCTCTACTTGAAAATGAATTATGCTCAGCGTCTGCTACTCACGCATACTAGGTTACTGTATAAGTTTTTCAAGAGAGACGCCGAAAAGCGTCGCTTGTAGAATCACAAAGAAAAAAGAGGTTACGTCGATAAGACTAAGTTGTTGAATTGTCTTATCTTACAATGAGCGTTGGAGAGAGTAAACACATATGCACATATATTTTATGAGTACATACAGAAGTGATCCGCTTATGTTTGCACATTTTCGATTGAGACGCGCCAGAGAGAGAGAGAGAGCGATAGAAAATGTATAAGAGTATAAGTGCTCGTCGCCTTTTGCTTTCCTTACCTTCTAAAGAGCGAAATTCAGCGGGAGAGAGCAAATGCCGGCAAGACGGTTCATTACGCATAAAGCAAATCAGTAACAAATTTACAGTGGGCTTAATTGGTATGCGAACGCGATAATTCCAGATATTTGATACTCGTTTTAAATTCGCAATGATTTCTTTAATTTTATATTACTTATTATAACTATTATTTTTTGTTCGAAATTATATACATGAATTATTTTATAGGTAAACTTATTGATATTTCATGTATGCATATAATCCTATATCTAGTATATACTGAGACTATAATTAAAGATTGCACATTTCCGGCCCAAAGACTGCTAACATTTATCACAATTCGCATCCGATAACTAGCTGATGCGATGTAAGCTAGGTTTATATATATAAATAAATACGTGAATGGATATATAATCTACATAATTGTTCAGTTAACTATAGAGTATTCATTGCTTGTCTGGTATAAGGAGAGTTCCACAGTGATGTGTCACCTATAGAGGCAACTATTGCGATATCACCTGCAGTCAGCCCCTACCCTACTTACACATATGTATATATAATTCTTATATTTAGGTATAAATTGCACCTTATGGTTTGGCAAGAAACATAGTATTATTGCACCTGTTGGTTGCTTAACTTAATGGAAGTCTTTCGTCTGGTTCAGATATTGCACATTCCTAACCTTTATATATATATTTATGCATATAAATATGTATATGTGTATGCATATGTAAACAAACTAACTTTTGCGGATCATCTTGTAGAGCACAGAGTGGGTTTCGATGCTCTCCGCACCTGATTCCCACATGTCCTCGGCATTCGTCTCCTCGTCGGAAGAGCCGCAACAGGTGCTGTGACCTCTGCGCTGCTCATCCTCTGAGGAGTACGAGGACATCGTATTGGAGCAGTGCAGCTCATTGGTTTGCGAGCGAGTCAGAGTTTTGTCAGATTCAGCATCGCTTATATCCTCGCCAGCATTTGGAGCTGGTCGGTTGTTGCCCGGTGAGACCATATGCTCGAGATCCTCAAACCGTGAGGCATCCATCTCCAACCTATTGCCATTCACGCTCTCCTCCTCATTGTCCTCGATGGTATCGACGCGTATGATCTGACGCTTGAAGTTGTAGCGATCGTAGACATTGCGTTTGTACAGCTCCGTGGAATCGGTGCTCATGTACCCGCTGTCCAACTGTCCGAAACGCTGCTCATAGTAGTTCTGGCCCACTGGCTGTGTCTGTGAGCCCGGCTGCGCCGCTGCTGCCTCTATGATGGAAGCAATGCCATCCTCATCCTCCAAAAATCCAGCTGCATTCTTGGTGCCATACGTCGGAGCTGGACTTTGGCTTGGGCTGAACTTGTTGGCCGCCATGGTCACAAATTTGCGCCAAGCATTTTTCAGATCCTTGGCCTTCTTGGCCCGATCCTTTAGGCCAATGGCAATTTGCATGCCCGCCGTCAGTTGCGCCGGCTCAATCTCACAGCGATAAACGGTCTGCACGTTTACATTGGCGCCGGTTGTGGAGGTGGTGACGCCAATGTTGGCCGCTCTTTGGGGATAGGCGATGCCAACGGGCACTCCAGCATTCCTGTACAGCTCCTTGGTGCGCTCTGAGAGATGGCTGCTGCTTCTATTCGACCGCGAGCTAATGGACAGCGCATCAAATTGATTGAGATCCACGTCCTTAAGGTTCTTTACATTGTTGTTGTTGTTGTTGTTGTTGCTGGAGTCAAGATCTGAGGTGTCCTTCAGCTCCAGATCCAGCTCCTGCTCCTTTTCCTGTTCCATTTCGTTACTGCTCTCACGCTTCCGTCGATTGAGATACTTGTTGAGGCTGTAATCATTGCGCAGGCTATTCATTTTCTTGCCATAGATGCCTTCGATGCCATCGTAGTCCGCATCCAGCTGCGCCTTCTGTCCCAGCACCGAGGCCTTTCCCTTTAGCCGCTTCGACTGCTCTGTCATGGCCGAGATGACGCTGGACATGGTATTGTTGCAGGAGTTATCCAGGGTATCCGAGACGCCAGTCAACTCGGTTATCTCGCTACGCAGACTGCAGGCATCTTCATCAACAGCTCCTCTCTCTCCAGTCTCCTGGTAGCCAGGCGAGGGCGGTGGCGGAGGCAAGGGACGCTTGTTGTGCACCAATGGAGCGCAGTAGTGCTGCTTTGCCTTGCTCGGCTCAGCAGCCTTGGCCGGCTGCTGTTTCTCCGGCAGCTTGGGCGAGGATATGGTTATCGTAGTCTTATTAACACTTGCCTTGGTCACATCCACCATGGACAGTGTGGGCGAGGATTGCAAGCCACGCTGGCGCCTGGAATGCTTGGCCTCCAGCGTCAAGAGGCGACCCTGTTCATCGCTCACCTGCTGCTCACCCTTGAAGTTCTCCTGCACAGCCAGAGGAGATTCGTAAATCTCGCGCAGATTGCGAAAAGAGTTGCTGGAGCGTAGTATAAAGGAGGCTGTGCGTGGCTTATTCAGCTGGCTGCTCTCCACCGGACAGCTGCCCAGCTGGCGACTGAGATCGGGCAAGGAGTTGATCTGATTGTAATCCTCGACCTCGGCTCTGCTCTGACGACCATGATTATCCCAGGCATTGACGTCGCAGAAGCTCTGCTTCTTGGGCTTGCGATCGAGTGTGTCCGGTTCGAATTGATCGCTGTCTGTGCGCTCCATGTCGGAAGGCGGCTCGTGCTCTACCTCGATGGTCATGCTGCCACGAAAGGGCGTGTCGTACTTGATGCGTGCTGCCGCCTCCTTGTGCCGCTGTGCCTGGTTATGCTGCTGGCCATGCTGATGCTTGCTAGCTAGACGTTTCTTCAGATCGCCCTCTTTGCGAAATCCGTTGATGCGATCGTAGACCGTGTGGCTGATCTCCATCTCCTCCTCCAGCGGCAGAGCTGTGCTTAAGCTGGGACTGAGCTGTGAGCTGACATCGGATGAGGGCGAGCTAGAGGAGTGTGAGCTCTTGCGTTTGCTCGGCTCCAGACGCTCCAGACTATCCGTTTCATAGTCCACGATCAGATACTGCGGCGATTTGCGCCTGTAGATCGGCGAATCTGGCTGAAACTGCTTCAGGCTCTTGCGGCTCAGTGAACTGTAGTCCGGCGTGGGCACGGATGGAATGCTGCTCTGTGTGCTGCTGTAAATATCCTTGATTTTCTTCTCGATGGTGCTGTCGTAGTCCGGCGTGGGAATATGCGCCGCATACTCGCGCTTCAGCGAATCGTATATCAACTCCGCAGGCTTCATGTTGCGCAGCATGTTATAATGCTGCCGGTCGAAGGAGTTCAGCGAGGTGGGCGTCGAATTGGCCGCTGCGAATTGATCTAAGACGTCGCCCCGTTTGCGCAAGGATTTGGAACGGCTGGAAGTGCTGCGCATGGAGCCCACCGGCGAATCGGCCAGCATGAACTTGGGATTGTTGTAGATCTCGCCGCCAGTTTCCGCAAAGCTATAGACATTGGCGGATACGGTTGCCGTATACGCCGTATAGCTGTCATAGGAAGGAGATTTGGGTTTGACGGGCTCGGGACTGGATTTGCTGGAGCGCGAATCCTTGTTTGAACTGGACTGGGACTCGGACTTGGACTGTGGCTCCAGTTGCGACTTGGGCATGGGCGGCGGAGGCGGTCGCTCCTTGGGCGCTGAAATCTCCTTGCGCTGCGTGGCTTTTGTGGGTGAACCGCTGCTCTTCTTAGACTGCTGCGTTGGCTCCGAGTTGGGTACGCTCTGCAGCCACTGCTCAATGCTGTTGCGCTTGTCGCCCAGGCTCTTGGCTTGCAAGTTCTGCTGCTGCAGCAGCGGTGCTTTGCATCTAGTCGAGCTCGAATCTAGGCTGGCCTCCTCGGGTATGATATTGAGCGATGGCTGATAGCGCTTCGCAGCCATCTTATACTTGGCAATGGCAATAACCTCGCGTATCTTCTGCAGAAACTCAATGGCAGCTTGTGGCGGCTCCTGCAGCGCAAATACATGGAGATCAGAAATGGTTTCAAGTAGAGCAATCCCAATGGGACTTACCGCTAATAAGTGGGGCTCAAAGTAAGCCGGATTAAAGTAGAGCTTCTTGCGCACATTGCCATTGACCATGGCGCGTAGATTCTCCAGCTTCTCCTCGCTCATCAGATCCTCGATGACAGCCACATTCTCTGTGGGCAGGCACTCGTTGTCCTGCAGAAAATCCTCTGACTCGAGGGAGGAGCTCTCCGCCCCAGAGCTGTGACCCGGCTTGGGCGATTTGTTCAGCTGTGGATGCACCAGAACCGAAACCGAAGTCTGCAGTAGAACCAGGTCAGGCTGTCTAGCAACGATCAAGTGTAGAGCTATTTCCACTCACCTTTATCTTCTCCTCCATCTCGCACTCGGAGTTCGAGTTGGAGATGTCGCTGGCAAAGCCCGAATTGTGCTCCCGTTCGCCCAGCTGCGGAAAATGTTGCAGCAGCGGATTGTTCTTCACAATGCCCAGATCATCCTTAAGACTGGCCATGCTGGCACGTGTGCCCGCCTCATTGCCATTCCCATTGCCCAGGCCCATGCTGTTGGCCGAGTAGATGCTGCCCACTCGGCTAAAGGGTGCTCCATACGTCACTTGATCGTTCTTCGGATAGTTGATCTCATTGGCCAGATTGTCCAGCGAGTGCCGAGAGTTGTGACGTCCACGACTCTTGCGCTTCTTCATGTACA